CGAGCTCGACGTGGCTCAGGAGAAGCAACCCCCGCACCAGCGCAGGCCTCGTGCGAGGGTTTTCCAAATAAAGTGACTGCAGGTGACCGTGGACTCGCTCAGCTGCCCTTTGATGCGTGCTGGCGACTTGCACCCTCGCAATCCGAGTGTTTATCCGAAGCTACGAGAAAAGTAATGTTTGCAGCAAATACAAGTGGCCCAAAATGACCCCTTCTCATGGCTGTTTCCAGCGCGGGCCTGAAAAGCTCCAGGTGATGACGCCAGTGGCTGAGGGCACATTTTATGGGAAAAGTTGTAAATCCACAAGAACCAACACTGATGCCGGAGGCCCTGACACGCCAGCTTGGGCACTCCGGCTGTGCACAAAAGTGACAAGTTGCGAGTTCAGAAATTCTAATGTGTGAAACCATAAACAAACGTGTTCAAGACCACTCTCGGGGGTTTTCCATTATCGCAAAGCCTACAAGACAGCAGAGGCCCTGCCGTCTCCACCACTTCTGCCTTGTGATCTCCCACGGACACATCCAAGTGTCAGTAACTCGAACCCATACACCTCTGGTCTCCTTGACTGTGTTTGCTATCGGCCCAGTCAGCGTCACACACGCTTCCCCGTGTGCTGCACGCCGCGTTTCTCTCAAATCCACACCGGAACCCAAGGTGAACCTGTGTGTGTGTGTGATCTATATTGTGATCTTGGTTTCTGAATCAAAGATGTTGACTGTACTGGAGGAAACGCTGCCATGCACCCCAGATTTCATCTTGGGGGGTACGCCATTGTGTTTGGGAGGCTCTGGGGTTCTCGATCCCTTGACCCAGGACCCTCTCTTTAAGCTGGAAATGATGGGACTAGCTCATTGTGTGGGCACAGAGAAGTCACCCCCAATGATTAGCAGGAATCCATTGTCTACACAAGTGGCCCTGTCCAGGTGGCATTTAGAGGCCGGGAAGGGAGCACACTCATGGACGTTTTTAGGTTATCATCGGCCAAGCCAGATGTGCGTCTTTCATAGGTGTCGCTTAAAGTTTGTGTTGCATTTGTTTTCTCTAGTAAGAAATGCGAGAGTAATAAAAGGATCCAGGAACGATGTCATTTGTGACCTACTAGGATATTAACTTCATAGGTGCAGCTCAAACCCAGAGGATGCATTCTTGCTCAAAACATCTCCAAATTTGGGAAAACAGTTCGATGTGTGGATAAAATCTTACTCTGTTAAAATAAGACTCATTAAGAGACAGCAGCAACATTTTTCCCCTAGCTCATCATAACCTGAACAGAAACTGAAAATTATTTATGTATCTGAAAGTTTTCCCATTCCCTGGTCCACTCCAAAGTGCCCACAGCGTCGGGGGCTGGGCCAGCGTGAAGCTGGGAGTGAGGACCTCAATCCAGGTCTCCCACGAGCGTGGCAGGGACTCACCTGAGAGATCACCTGCTGCCTCCCAGGTGCTGTCAGCAGGCAGCTGGGGTCCAGACTGGAGCCAGGACTCGATCCCAGGCACCCTGATGTGGGACACAAGGGGTCTCCCAAGTGGAAACTGCTACCCCCAGCACCCACTCCTGAACGGAAGTTCCCTGAGTATTCAGACGTTACCAGTGAGAGAGAACTCAGATCTGCCTGCGGAGATGAAATGCTGTCCAGATTAACTCACTGAAGGCTTCTGATTAACACGGATCCTTACGAGGAGTCGCTTCCACGGTGCTTCCTTGCAAGCTCACCATGAGGTGTGAGTGCGTGTCAGCTCCGATGTGCTGCACGCAAACAAACCAGCGTCCAGTCTCAGCGAGAAGAGAGCTGTTCCGTTTGTCGCTGTGCTGGGTTCCGTTGTCTGGTGTGTGGCAGGAGAGCTGCAGCTCTTTCCTGAGGAGGGAAAAGGGGCTGTGCCGTGGGCCTGGACCACGAGGGAGTGAAACGGGCTTGGTTCTGTCGTCCTGCGTGAAACCCCGTCTGCGTGCAGAGAGAAATGAGCTGCTTCCCATAATGGACCTGGAAAGAAATAGATTGATTGCTGTGGAATTCACGCAGTCTGTGCATATCGTTGCTTAAGGAAATTATCGCAGAGAGAAAGGAATTCAGAGACGGGGTTTTAATACTGATGACAACACAAAGAAGAGGGAGAAGCCTCAGTCATTTATCTCCTGGTTATATGTGCACAGAGAGGTGAGCCGATGCTTCCAGACTCAAACTACATTAAACTCACTTATAAAATATCTACAGTGTTTGGAAGGTGTAACTAAATTAACAAATTTCATAATGTTTCATTTGAATATATAGTAGTTTATTTTAAAGCATTTAAATTTTGTTATTTTAATGAGGCCAGAGGGTTATAATTAAATAAACTCTGTTATTATCAGAACAGTGCCTTGAAGAGAAACAGCATTCCAAGTGGAACAGTGAGGTTGCAACATACCTGAGTAAGGCCAGCGTCAACCTAGGCCGCTGTGTGCAGTGTTGCATCCTGTATCTGTGCGCTGGTTCAAGTCCCGGCTGCTCCGCTTCCAATCCAGCTTCCTGCTGATGTGCCTGGGAAAGCAGCAGAAGATGGCCCAAGTGCTTGTCCCCTGCCACCATGTTGGGGACCCAGACAGAGTTCCTGGCTCCTGCCTTGGGCTCAGCATAGACCTAACGGTGCAGCCATCTGAGGAGTGAAGCAGCAGATGGAAGATCTCTCTCTCTCTCTCTCTCTCTCTCTCTCTCTCTCAGATGCTCTGCCTTTCAAATAAATATGTTGTAAACAATACTGCACCTGTAAACACCTGCATGCATACTTGTCCACACTGAGGGCTGTGTGTAACACATGTGCACACTAATCACAGGAGCAGATCATGAGAGCAGAAGAAGGCAAGTAGGGCTCACCAGAGACCTAACTGAGGACTTAGTAATTTATTCCGAGTGTGCTGTCCTCAGGGCGGAGGTGAACATCCAGTCCCATCTGTCTGACCACAGTGGCTGAGCTCTGTGCACTGTGTGGTCTAAGGGGACGGCGTCCTTGACCAAGTGTAGACATGGGTACTTGCGCACACACCTGGGGACACACAACTCATGCATAACACACTTCTACAGAGATCGCAATACTTTGCTTTTTTCTTCTTGCGGTGTTGAAATCCCAGCCTTGTGTCAAGTGTTCCTTCAACCAGCAGCATCCACCTTACCTAAACTGTGATTTGCAAACTCTGGGCTTGCAGTGTTCCCGTAGAAAGCACACGTGGAGCCCTCGTGCGGATCTACATCTCTGACAGCGTGAGCTGCAGTGAGCTATGAGGCTGGTGCACGCGCACATTAGTAGTGCCGGTCGGTCCATCTGAATTTGTTTATGGGTGCTTCCCACTCGGTGTCCACATAACCACACGTGCGTCTGGGAGGCCTGTCTAGTTTCCTCTCCGTGAACTAGACATAGTTGTGAGTAGGCCAGGTGAATGCAAGCTTGAGCTAGTCTGCGTCAGAGAAAGAAATTGACCAGGGAGAGGGGAAGCCAGGGCGCCCACAGCCACCAGTAATTGAGATCAGGGAGAGGGGTGCAGCCTGGGCAGTGCCGGCCGTCACCACAGGGGTTTAAAACATCCTCACTTGACTTGGTTTCCCACAGAACCATGGTTCGCTCCAGAGGCTGCAGAAGGGATGACTTTGAACGGTGCTGGCTGAGCGTTGAGTTCCTGAAGAGTCGCTTTCCAAGGCCACGGCCAGCCAAATGCACACTCCCCTCCTCCCCTCAGGGAGCGTTTCCCCTGCGCCAGCTAATGTGTCTGGGATTTCTGGATCATGACCACTTCGTAAGTTCTCAACTGAAGTCTGCGCTGCACCTTGGACTGGGAGACTCTTGGAAGAAGAGCTTGTAAAACATATATTCTTCATTTTTCAACAGTATTTGTGAAGGGAAAAGAAACGCAAACCACAGCGATGAAAAAGGACCATAGAACAAATTGACCTGGATTTTTTTTTTTTTAAAAAAAAGCTCTTATTTGCAAGAGCCAACAACTTTGTAATACAAATAACATGTGGCCAGTGGCCAGGAAGGGACATAAGCAGTGGCCAGGAAGGCACATAATTAAATCCGTCTTTGCTACTGCATAAAAATAATTATGAGTGAAATTGCATAATGACTGTTTAAAATCAGAAGTTGAGATAATTAAATTTCTCTAAGTTATTTACCAAGACACATTTATTATATTAGCAAAATGTGTGCTCGCTAATAAATAGTAAAACAAAAACAACCTGATAAAAATTAGAAAAAAGAAACCTAATTACTGCTAGAGAAATTAAGTCCAACCTCAGACCTTAACACACTGGAATTGTCGAAGTTGGGAATTTTTACTTGAATGACGTCATTGTCTTGAACCCCTGTGCGCCGGGCACGTTTTACAGGTACCGCTTCTCGGATCTTGGCCTCTCATGCCTTCTGCGTCCTCCCTGTCCTGTGGACACGTGTTTTGACATGGAGCTGGTCTCAGGACAAGGAGCCACGTCAGGGCCTGGGCCTGGCTCCCTCAGTGACTGGCAAGCCTGAGTGTGGGCAGGGTCAACTCCCCAGGGAGTAGTCGGGGGCAGCAGCTGAATCAGCTTCCCCAGTCCTCCCCCTAGGGGTCTGGCCATCCTGAGGCCACTTCTCGGAGCAGTGACCCCACGCGCAGTCCCCTGTGCCCCTCCTCCCTTCCTGCCTGAGGTCAGCCACACATCACTGGTGCTGCACCTGTGAACCGAGAGAGAGCACCCAGTCTTTGCTCAGGGCCCCTTCCACGAGGTTCCCCCTCCAGGCTAAGATAACCCCAGTAGGAAATCTGCATATTTAATTATGCAGATATACAGCAAAAATTATACCAGTGCTATCCACAGATTCCAAACTAGGTTAGAGGTGTGCACATGCTTGCTTGCTTTCTTTCCTTCCTTTTTTCTTTTTTTTTTTTTTAAAGATTTATTTATTTATTAGAAAGAGTTACACAGAGAAGAGTCAGAGAGAGAGCGAGGTGGGGGGGGGATCTTCCATCTGCTGGTTCACTCCTCAATTGGCTGCAACAGCTGGAGCTGTGCCTATCTGAAGCCAGGAGCCAGGAGCTTCTTCCTGGTCTCCCAGGTGGGTGCAGGGGCCCAAGGACTGGGCCATCCTCCACTGTTTTCACAGGCCACAGCAGAGAGCTGGATCAGAACAGGAGCAGCTGGGACTCAAACCAGCACCCACATGGATGCTGGCAGCACAGGCGGAGACTTAGCCTACTACCCCACAGTGCCGGCCCCCCCCCTCTCTCTTTTTTTTATTGTTGTTTTTCAACATCTGGTACGATGGGGGATGGAATTCCTTCTGTGGGTGTTTCTCTCTGTTCTTCTCTTTGCTTGCTTGGGTAGACTTCTGAACAGAATGTTCTAGCCAGTTTCTAATACCCACCCCCCTTCCCCTCTGAAAGCTGACAGAACTGGATCCCATTAGTAGCGGCACCCATGGCCTGGGACGTGATCTTCCAGTTCCCGTGCGAGTGAGGATCCTGGGCACTCTGAGGAAGCTGCTGGAGGCCGGGCTGTGGTCTCCTCTCCTCCCTGCCACCCTGTCCAGCCTCCAGTCCACCCGGGCAGGCACCCTCTAGGCTTTGGTCCTGGTCAAGGGGGAGCATGTGATGACAGCGACAGCGAGAGAGAAGCCGAGAGGGAGAGAGAAACTGAGGGGGAGAGAGAAGCCAAGAGGGAGAAAGAAGCCGAGAGGGAGAGAGAGTGGCTGCTCTGTGTGGCCGGCTGCAGCCCTGAGCTGGAGGCCAGGCCTCTGTCCAGCAGCCCCCCCCCCAGACTCCACCATTTCCTGTCCACCTCTTTTTCTTTACGAGACCAGGGTTACAGACTGAAGGACATGCTCAGGGTTCAAAGACGCCTCGAGCCCCAGCGGAGCTCTGTGAGACTCAGCCGTGGAACGACTTCTTAGCTGGGAAGCACTTCTGCTTGTTCCACCAGTGCCACTTTCTTCTTGCTATCACCGTTAAACAAGGTTTGTTTACTTGTTTGAGAGAATTGCAAAGGGGGAGAGACACAGATAGAGATGGAGACTGGAGACAGAGAGGAAGCAGGGGAAAGAGGGAGGGGGGAGGGAAGGAGGGAGGGAGGAAGGAAGAGAGGGAGGGAGGGAGGGAGGGAAGAAAGGAGGGAGGGAGGGAGGGAGGGAGGGAGAAGTGAGGGAGGGGGAGGGAGGGAGAAGGGCGGGAGGGGGAAGTGAGGGAGGGAGGGAGGAAGTGAGGGAGGCAGGGAGGGAGGAAAGGAGGGAAGAAAGGAGGGAGGGAGAGAGAGAGGGAGGGAGGGAGGGAGGGAGGGAGGGAGGGAGGGGGAAGTGAGGGAGGGGGGAGGGAGGAAGGGGGTAGGGAGAGAGAGAGAGATCCCACCCAGTGGTTCACTCCCCAAATACCCACAACAGCCAGAGCTGGGTCAGGCCAGAGCCAGGAGCCAGGAATCCATCCTGGTCTCCGCTTGACTGGCAGGAGCTGGAGGGAAAGTGTGTACTGAAACAGGCAGCCTGGTGTGAGATGGGCATCCCGGCGACACCCTAACCTGCTGTCCACCAGAGCCACCCCCTTAACTGTCACTTTAAAAAAATCAAGCCGCTCCACGTGCTCATCAGTGCGGCTTCTCACCTTCCCAACACTGCCTCCTGCCGAGAACACGTCCCCAGCCCCCAGCCCTCTCCCGGGAACTGAATGCCAGCCCCTGCCCTCTCCGGGGAACTGAACACTGTGCATTTCCCAGGGAGTGGCGCCCCCCACCCCTCCCGCATCCCGGCGGTTCAAGTTCTCCAGCTTGGAACGGATGGAGCTGTGGCTCTGGGGCTCATTTAAGGCAGAAGGAGAGGTTTGAATCTGTGACTTGCCTTCTCTGGACTCTACCTGTTTCCTTAAAGACACCTGCAATGTGCTGATTGGCTGAGGCCGCTCCAGCGGGAAGTGTGGGAATACTCTGACGCTACCATCATCACCCTGGAAGCTCCTGTTTCAAAGTGGAAACGAGGTGGCTGGCAGCCACCTGACCAGGAATCTACACATAGGGTCTCTCTGTGAGTGTGTTCAACGCTCAATGCCTGTAACACAGGGAACGGGTGTGAGCCACGGATAACACCACGCCACGTGGGAGCCGTGAGAACACCCCAACATTCTGCTGTGCCAGTCCAGATTTATCTACCGCAACATGACTTAACTATAAAAAACAAGATGCTTAACCTGGATGTGTCCATATTTCCACGTTAACAGTCATTCCATTCTTTCTTTCTGGGGAATAAAAACAGACATCCAAAATTAAAATGGGAGAAGGGAGCTCCAGGTTAGGGACCATGGGTGCAGACACGGAATGACAGAGCGACCTTTGTCTTGCTTTTCAGGGAAGTCTGCAGGCAGTGGGGTCCGTTTGGTCGGGATGTCGCCAGCTGATTGGCCTCATGTGGCAGCTGCACAGAGGAGACTTGAGTCCCCGGCGACAAGTAAAGCGGACAGCGAGGAGGAGCTGTCCTCAAAGAACCTGCCTCCCGAGAGGCGCTTTGCTGGAGATTTTATAGCGAGCATTAGGGGCGTGTCCAGGATGTAGAAAAGGGTGGCCCTCCCCGCTCATGCAGCACACAGAGTTCAGCACTCTGCCCTGAGCCAGCGTCCTGGTGCTCTGCCCTAGGGCCCTCCGCGTGCCGTGGTGCAGAAGGAGCCTTCTTGGGCCGTCCCTGGAAAAGGAGCTCCAGGAGTGAACCGCGCCGGGTCCCCTGCCCTCGCCCTGCCTGCGCCCCCTCCTGCCTGGCATTTTTGGTTACAGAGAGTTCTGTGCTCCAGCCCCCGTGACCCCAGCACGTAATGAAGAAATCACTGCTTGGTTTCTTTGCTAGAATCCTTTACTTGTATCGGTGTCCCTAAGATACCATGCTGTGAAATACTGCCAGACTCCAGTAGTACTACATTTAGTATATATCACAATAGGACACCACCCAGGGTTTCTAATTTGGCATATTAGTTTCACATGCTGATGATTGTCAACTCTTCCAAAAATATATCATGACAGGAATTTGTTTGCTTTTATATTTTGCAAGAAGGATTTCAACAACCAAGTCATTCAGTACATCTCTTTCTTAACTGGTGTGATAATAAGACCATTGTAATCTCCATTTAACCGTCAGTCTATACATAGCTCCAGCTGCCAAAGATGCCGTAGGACCCACAGCCACACGTTGAAGAGTGTTGGGATCTGAGGCACTTTTATGTTTTCTCAGGAGCAGGGACTTAGTGACTTCCTGTTCCCCACACCGAGCCTCCTCAAAGAAAATGACAAGAAAAACAAAGCAAATAGCAAACAGACAATTGAAAAGCAAATGTTGCAACAGAATATGTGTTGACACGGAGCTGTGCTATAAAAGGTTGCCATTCATTTGCTTATAAAATGAACATACTGCAGGGATCTTTGCAAAGCCGTTTGGGAGAGGACCCACTGGGCATATTAGTTATTCCCTTGAAAAAGGATATCTTGGAAGAGATTCATCCCCTGGGGGAGTGCACATCGTATCCTGCATAAAAGCTGTGTTGAACACTTGTGTAGAAAGACTGGGTTGAAACAGAAGCAGTCCCTGACCTGAGGACACATGTCCTCACCAGACACGCGTTCAGTCTCTGCCCGACATCCTCCTGCACCCCTCACCGCCCAGGTCAGGACCTGCAGCCCTGCGCTGCACAGGCCCCTCTCCACCTCTGCCCTTGCTCAAGCTCTAAGAGAACTGTCTCTGCTGAGCCTGTGTCCCAACCCGGACCGTAACGTCTAACTCTGCCACCAGATCCGAACCAAGTCCACACTTGCAGCCAACCTCATCTCACTGACTCGGGCCACTGATAGTTCTTTCTTCACTGCCACCCCTTAGGTTTTCTTTCACTCACTGAATGATTTTCCCATCTACCCAACCACCTATCCATCCATCCATCCATCCATCCACCCATCCATCCACCCACCCATCCATCCACCCATCCATCCATCCACCCACCCACCCATCCATCCATCTACCCATCCATCCACCCACCCATCCACCCACCCACCCTCCACCCACCCATCCATCCACCCATCCACCCACCCATCCATCCACCCATCCATCCATCACCCACCCCACCCATCCATCCATCTACCCATCCACCCACCCACCCATCCATCCACCCATCCATCCACCCACCCACCCATCCACCCATCCATCCATCCACCACCCATCCACCACCCATCCATCCACCCATCCACCCACCCATCCATCCACCCACCCACCCATCCACCCACCCACCCATCCATCCACCCACCCACCCACTCATCCATCCATCCACCCACCCATCCATCCACCCACCCCTCCACCCACCCATCCATCCACCCACCCATCTACCCATCCATCCATCCATCCACCCATCCATCCATCCATCCCCCCACCCATCCACCCACCCATCCATCCACCCATCCATCCACCCACCCATCCATCCATCCATCCACCCACCCATCCACCCACCCATCCATCCACCCACCCATCCACCCACCCATCCACCCATCCATCCACCCACCCATCCATCCATACAGATTTATCTATTTCACACCTACCTATCATTCATCCATCCACCCATCTATCCATCCATCCAAATACATCTATCCACCATACACCAATCATCCACCCATCCACCTCATCCATCCACCCATCCAAGGTTGGTCACTGCCCCTCCAACAAGCTATGGAGAGGTGATGGGAGAGCCAATGTGGCAGATGCAGAAACAACCAATTCTGTGATAAGACAACGGAGACCAGGCTCTTACGCACCTTGTATTCTAGAGGGCAGTAAAGAAAATAACTGAATGAAGAAATCAAAGCACAAAGAGAAAGTAGCTACTGTTGACAAGTATAGGATTGAAACAGGCTACCAGCAGAGGAGGGTCGGTGCACTCCATAGAGTTGGTGGTCATGGGAGAGCTGTCTAGCAAAGGAGCAGCAAGAGAGTGGAAGACATCAATAGAAGAAGAGGAGGAGGAAGAGGAGGAGGAAGAGGAGGAGGACGAAGAGGAGGAGGAGGAAGAGGAGGAAGGGGAGGAGGAGGAGCAGGAGGAGGAAGAAGAGGAAGAGGAGGAGGAAGAGGAAGAGGAGGGGGAGGAGGAGGAAGAGGAGGAGGACGAAGAGGAGGAGGAGGAAGAGGAGGAAGGGGAGGAGGAGGAGCAGGAGGAGGAAGAAGAGGAAGAGGAAGAGGAGGAGGAAGAGGAAGAGGAGGGGGAGGGAGAGGAGGAGGAGGAAGAGGAAGACGAGGGGGAGGAAGACGAGGGGGAGGAAGAGGGGGAGGGAGAGGAGGGGGAGGAGGAGGAGGAGGAGGAAGAGGAGGAAGAGGAGGGGGAAGAGGAGGAGGAGGAGGAAGAGGAGGAGGAACAGGAGGGAGAGGAGGAGGAGGAAGAGGAAGAGGAAGAGGAGGGGGAGGAAGAGGAGGAGGAGGAAGAGGAGGAAGAGGAGGAGGAGCAGGAGGAGGAGAAGCAGGAGGAGAAGCAGGAGGAGGAGCAGGAGGAGGAAAAGGAGAGGAGGAGGAGGAAGAGGAGGAGGAGGAAGGGGGGAGGAGGGGGAGGAGGAGGAGGAGAGGAGGAGGAGGAACAGGAGCGGGAAGAGGAGGAGGAAGAAGAGGAGGAGGAAGAGGAGGGGGAGGAGGAGGAGGGGGAGGAAGAGGAGGGTCGGAGCACTGTCCACAGGGCTGAGTGAGAACAGACGCTGCGTTCCAGCGACAGAGGGACGTTTCCACACAACAGGAAACCTGGAATAGTGGAGGAGCAGATCCCCCGGGTTTGCGGGTCTAGGAAGACTGACCGCACCGACAGAAGGCACTGGGGTTTCCAGCCTGTCACTCAGATGTGATAGCAGCGCCCAGTGATGAGGGAGTCACACTGGGAGGAGACCCCGAGGGAGACTTGCTGTCACTCCGCCCAAATCAGCACTTGCCTTTCCTGTAGAACCTGAGGAGACCTTCTAAAACAATCCGCGATGTTTGGAAAATGAAATGAGATCCGGAAACTGGCAGTTCTTCCTTCTTGTTTTTTTTTTTTTTTTTTTTTTTTTTTTTTTTTTTTTTTTTTTTTTTTGTAAAGATGTGATAAAAAATTTACTCTCAAAAGTTTATATTGTTTGAAAGCAAAAGAACTTTTCTGACTTATTTTAATTCTAGAAGAGAGTGTTAATTTGGAGCAGCACATTTTCTACATCAGAGCACGTGCTTTCAAACGAGGTGGGAAGTGGGAGCAAATCATGGCTGGCCTTGGATGGAGGCAGCCTGCTAACTGATTTGCTTGTTCCAGAACTGGGCAAGACAACCTGTTTGGATTCTTCACATTGATGGGATTGTTCAATGTTCGTGATATTCGCTTTCCTCCCTTTCCTGTTTTCACGTCCATGTCGCACGTGCTTAGCTGGAAAACGATGACAGTCTCCATGAGGCGCTATTGTGATTTTTGGCAGAGTGTAGTTAGGAGAGAGTCGGGTGAACCAGTGATAAGACTTCCTGCAAAGACTTAGAGAATGGCAATAGGTGTGAATTTCCAAAGGCCTCTCTCTGGAAGAGTCGCCTTTTTGGGCAACACAATGTGGAACTTACCGCAGCTTAATCTCACGCGATGTCACTTCTTTCTTGGGTACAGTGAAATTCTAGACTGGCGATGGTTTTCTTCTGAACGAATGAATGAATTGGCCAATGGACCTATGTGACCTTAACTCGATGACAAACCTCCCACAAGTGTGACTGCGTGGGTACCTCTGTGAGTTCTCATCCCGGTTAGGGTTCCGAGAGGGCAAACATACCCCACGTGCGGTCGGAAAGGCTGGCCTCGCGACTGGTTTAGATTGGCAGGCGGTGGTGTCACTCGTCAAGCCTGCAGCCCTACGCAGAGCCTTGCCTCCAGACCCCTCCTCTTGCACTGGCGATGTCGAGAGGAAAGGGCCCGGCTTTGTCCGCAGGGGAGCTCTCTCACTATTCTGTGGTTAACATTTTTGAAAGCAATGATAAAGAGAAGGTAATTCAGGACAGAACAGCCGCGCTTTGTGCTATAAAGTCTTATTGCTGTGCCATTTTGTTGTTTCATATTCAGCTCTTTCATTTATCTAATCCTTAATTATTTGCACTAGTTTCTTAACCATCCACCCATTGTGAACTTGTCCTTATGCTTATACTTCCTGCCAACTGTTTCACACATGGCGAATATTATTAGGAGCGATACTCTAAATTTAATACACAGCTACAACAGTTTTGCTTTCATTATGTGCGGTAATATCCATAAATAGAGGCTCCGTTGTTGGCACCGACTGCATCCCTCCCCACTTGCGTCGCCTAATTATGGCTCTCACTTGAATAACTTGGCAAATGCTTGCATGGCATCTTCAATTAAAAATAAATAAAGCAGAATAATGTTCTTTCTGTGCTCTTCAGCTAAAAAAAAATAAGTGTTATCCTTCCGATCAATTGAAGGATGCATTCCAAGTCTCTTTCCAACATAATTTTTCTTAAGGCAAATTAAAAATGTGTGGTATCTAATCAAAATAAATATGCTTTTCAACGCCCACACTTCCTGTTGCACAAACTTCCCAAACAATCGTTTCATACAGCCTTCCTAAGGGGAGCGCGGAGCCTCAGCCCTCGTCCTTGACTGAGGTTTGCGCTGTGGCCCTGCGGTGCCTCCCGACCCCAGGCCAGGGCCCCTCACAAGCCTGATCGTCCAGGGCCCAGGTCACAGGCACACAAGCGCGCGGCTCCTTTCTCCAATGGTATTAGGAGAAATGGCCGCTATCTCCACCACCCTTTGGTCCACGAAGTCACACAATAGTATGGAATTCAAGTGTGAGTTTATTTTGATGCGAATGCAATTTCAGAATTCAGGCATAATCATTTTTCTCATACTGTCCATGCATTATTAAAAAAAAAACTTTGGTGCTCCAAGATAAACTCATTTTTAAAAAAGATTTATTTATTTATGTGAGAGGTAGAGTTACAGATATAGAGGAGAGACAGGGAGAAAGTGATCTTCCAACCGCTGGTTCACTCCCCAAATGGCTGCAATGGCCGGAGCTGAGCTGATCTGAA